TCTCTCTCTCTCTCTCTCTCTCTCTCTCTCTCTCTCTCTCTCTCTCTGCTGTGCTCCTCTCCACTTCTGTGAATTCAGCTTTTTGTGTGAAGTCAGCTTTTTGGCATCCATGTGTAAATGAGAACCAAAGTGATCTTGGCACCTCCTTTGTGTCTATTCCAGGTCTCCTTCCTCCTGCTGTGCTGGAATTTTTTTTTTAAAAGCCGTACCCACAGCTCTTTGCCTATATTAAACATAATTCTAAATGAGCCATCTTCTGACTGCAAACACCAGGCTGGTGGCCCCAGAGCTGCTTTCTTCAAAGTGAAAGTAGCAATTAGCTTTTGTGGTCCCTCCCCCAAAAGACAGAAAGTAGCTACTTATATATGATACTATTAACATTTCAAAGGTTTCTGGTTTTTATGATTCGTTTTTCTTAGTTATGTGTATGTGTCTGTGTATGGGTCTGTGCACATGGGTGCAGTGATCTTGGAGGCCAGCAGAGGGCACTAGATCCTGGGGTTACAGGAAACCGAACTCTTGTCCTCCTGCGGATCCTCACTGACTCACATGCTTAGCCACAAAGTCGCATCTTCAGCCCCACAGATTTTTCTTAAGTGCTGCTTTTATGTACAACACAACGGAAAGATATAGCAATACCAGGATTATAAAAAGAAAGGGAGTTTGGACATGGAAAAAATACTTATAAGGAAGATAATCATTTTAATAACTGCCCTTGGGGTGTTCAAATGAGGGTGAAGCGATCCCTAATTAGCAATTAGATAAATCCTGAGAATTGCAGCGCAGTGGGGCTTAAATTTCTCTTTCAATATCACAGTTTTGCTCAAAACTGAATCAACATGATTGCGGCTATAAATTTTTTGACCAATGCTCTCGCAGCTGTGTACATCTGACCCGCACAGAGATGCCACTCTGAGACAGCCCCTTCTCTGTCCTTGTGTCCACAGCGCGAATCTGTCCAAAGCCGCCTGGGGAGCATTGGAGAAGAATGGCACCCAGCTTATGATACGTTCCTATGAGCTCGGAGTCCTTTTCCTTCCAGCGGCATTTGTGAGTCACACGTCACCTTCTACTTGGTCATGCATGTTATGAATGGGTCTTCTGTGTTCTTTCCCTCTGGTCACCCTGTGGGCCCAGCATTGTCTGGTAGCAGGGTCAGGGTTCTAATCCAAAACCCATGGTTACCTACATGGCTAGAGATTGAAAGGTGAGGTTAATAACCATGTTTAAATAACTACTGTAAGCGTGATGGAAAGGATAAGTTCCCAAAGGAGAAGCCCAGCCAAGCACGGACTTTGGGGATGGGGATGGGGGTGAAGGGACGGGGGAGGGGGGTTGATGAGGGTTTAGAGTATGGGCAGAGGTTGGAAGACACATCACACCTGGAAAGGAATTGGCAGTAGCAAAGCTGGGGAGTAAAGAGTTCTGGGTTTAGCTGAGGACACATGGCAGGGAGCTCCCAGAAACGTTCCATGTTGGAAGCAGTCTCTCAAGATGTCCAGTACATTAGCTCCTCGGCAGCTTTGAAATGGCTAACAGCTTCTATAGCCAAACGCCAGATGAAGTATTTGCTGTGCCTGTGGGGACCAGGTGGCCTAAGCCGTATGTTTCAATGCGCAGTAGATTCATACTTTCAGAGACTCATTTCCTGAGGCCCCAGGACCTACATACATATACGCGTGTGGGCACACACACATGCGCTCTCTCTCTCTCTCTCTCTCTCTCTCTTTCTCTCGACACACTTTTGATGATGGCATATGGTCAGGGTTGCCTGCACAGGGAAGTGGCTAATTCCACTCTCCACTTCCTTTCTTACTGCTTGCTGTAGTTTTAGGATAGACCTTGTGAACTGCTCTGGCGGGACTAGGTTTTACTAAGGGGGCACCATGAGCTTGGCCATAGACTTCAGTCAGCACACGAGCAGTAATGGATGCACAGTCTCACAGCGTGCTGCAAAGCATTTCTTTCTTAGCATGTCCAGCAGGACCCTCTCTTTCTCCCCCCAACCGCCACCACCCTGGAGAGTAGCTCTTGCCCCCTCTCTCCTCCGCTTACCAGTCTTTACCAGTCTTTCTCCAGCCCAGGGCTTCAAGGGTGTAACTACCTGGTCACCCTAAGCTACTGCCACCCTAAGCTGCTGTCATAAGGTTTTGGCTACTCTTTCCTCCTGAGTAAACATCCCCTGGAACAGCTGGGTTCCAGCATCAGAGCCTCAGAAAGGACAAAGAGATGATGTCCCTGAGGTCCCACAGCTATTTTAGGGTCTAGCCCTGAGGTTGCCGTCTTCTGCCTGCTCCTTGTGACCTTTTACTTCTGTCACATGTCTGGGCAATGGCAAGTTCGTGATGCTGGACTACAGTGCTCAGATATTTGCTGTGGTGATGGGGACTGGCTTCCATCTAGGTAAGAACTGCCCTGGTGCTGACTCAGATAGTGGAATGCATTCTATGCATTCCTTATTTGCTTTTTGTTGTTGGCATTTGTAAAATCTGCTTCAAGCTGATCCCTGACCGTGGGAATGTTCACAAGACAGAAATGTCCCCATGTCCTCCAGGCAGAGACTCTTTTTCTGTGTATTAGATGAAAGTCATAAAGAAATACAGGAATAATCATTTAAAATTCCCAAATTGACTTTTTTAAGAACAAGGCAAGGCACATATAGCACATTTGAGGTAAGAAAAATAGATAGTGTTTAAAGTGTGAAGACTATCTTGCAAACATAAAAAATGGATGCCACTCCTTTCATGGAGCTAGCCCCGGGCACGATGACGGTATAGCTCATCGACTGAATACAGGCAAGCGTGAGGTCGATCTTAGCTTTCCAAACCATGAGCAGATTATCTGAAGCATTACAGCACTGGCCAAGGAAAGATCAACAAGTCTGCAGCTACCTACACATGCTCTGTCTGTGTTGTCCTTGTGGTTGATTTGTGTCTGGAAAGCTGAAGAGAGAGAGATAAGTAGGAGGAAGAGAGTAACAGGGAAAGGGAAAGGAAATGTGGTTCCCTGACCTTGGAGCCTCTGCTGATCCTGTGACCGAATATGCTGTTCCTGTGGCCTTTCCACATGTGGATGTCTCTGGTAAAGATATTTTTGAGGGTGGGGACATACTAAGAAGGTCGCAGGTCTCCAGCAATTTGTTGGCTTATCTCTAGAACCTGGGACGTCATTTAGCAGTGGCTTTCTCTATAAAATGGGTAAGGACCAGCCAGTCACAGCCCTGTCCCAGCGTCATCTCATCCAGTTAGTTTCAGGTGCCCTTCAGTGAGTCATAAAAGGCTGGGCACACGTTAAAGGTCAGCATTGCGAAAAATACACTGAAGCATTTGACCTTCATTCCCAGGGAGCTCAAAGTCAGTCAGACGCCTTGTATGTGGTCAGAAAGATACATGTCCCAGATGTGAGCTGAGGGCCAAACCATGAGGGTAGCATGCAGCCTGAGTAAGCAGAAACTCGGGTTATAATGTTCTTTATAGTGTTGCATTTTATAGAAACAAAGTTAATCCTACAAAAGGGAGGAATCAAAAACGATGCCGAAGAAAATCGTGGAATAAAAAGAATGACTTATAATTCAGACTTGTTGATAGGGAGGGGCCCGTCTCTCTGGCTGCTGCCACCAGTGGGCTCCCACTCAGTGAAGACCACTCTGCATGACTCTCTGCTTCTCAGGCTTCTGTCTGTTTTTCTCATCTGGGCTCTCCTGGCGCATCCTCCAGTCATGGGCCTGTCTCCAGAGAAGGATACTGTGAATTTAAAGCCAGAAATGGATTTTCAGAGCGCCTCACCTGACAGTGAGCTGCCACGGGCCTTGTCAGTCTATGGGATGTAGTGTTTGGCTTCTGAGTAGAGGAAGAGCCTGTATCCGGGTTCCCGTGTGGCCCACTGTGAAGAGAAGCTTCTGAAAAGGCAGCAGAAGTGCTGTCTGTGGTGTTGACTGAGGGAAGCCAGCAAGCACGCAGACTCAGGAAATTCGCCCATCTTTGAAAAAGAGGTATGCCATGGAAGTGCTCAGCTCCCTCCTCGAAGCCCATTGCAGGCTAGGAGCTGGACATTCCATGCCCCAGGAGTGACCTCACCAATGCCAGCTCAGGTCCACAAGCACCCGAGGCCTCCCCTGTGGTGGGCCCTGGGGAAAGAGTGGGAGCAGCTATGGCCCTCATTCTCAGGAACCTCAAGGGTGCATTGAGATACACAGACACCAACTCCACAGCATGGGATCAGAAGCATGCTCAGGAACGTTTCCAGATATGAGTCCTGGCGGGCGGGAGCGTGGGCTCTGCTGGGGACCTGGGAAAGCTTCTGCGAGGGATTTCCTCCATGTGGTTCTTGAGAAGCAAGTGCTCAGCCCAGTTTTGGGCAGAAGCTTACAGAGAAATATAATATTATAGTCAAGGAAAACTACTGTTTCCTATGTGCTGGGGCAGCGAGGTGAGCATGGGGTGTAGTCTAGGAGACTGGAATCCTGATCTAGGGTTGCGTCCCACCTGAACCGTGGAAAGACAATCTGTGTCACAAGCCAATTGTCTAAGCCTTTGAGTCTTATAAAATGTAATTTTTAAATTATAGATTATCACTTATATTATTCAGAAGGTACTTGAGGATATGTGGCATTTGCAAATGTCATCAAAATCAGCTTAATCATTTAAAGGACACTAGCCAGACGGTCCGATTGCTAATGACTTACTGTTACTGGTCGCCCCACTTGCCTGCTTTGAAGCACAAGAAATGCCCATGGCAACTCTTTCTCTCCATAGCTTTTAATCACTGGCTCCTGCCGTTCCTAACTACTCGGTGCTGCTTGATAATATCACCTGGTCATCCCTGCAGCCACTGTGGCCAGGGCATGCCAGCAGTTTACATCAGCCTCCGCTTCCTGCCCTGAGGCCGCCTTCAGGCCGCCCTCCCAGAGCCCATCTGTAAGCTTCACTCCGTCCTGTCGCCAGATGGTCTCCATCGACCACCAGCCTGCTGGCGCCGCCTCCTTAGCTGACTTCCTCTCTTCCTTCAGGCTAGGACTCCTGGCTACCCAAACCATACTTCCCTCTCCTTCTGGCACTTTTACTCATTTAGTTATTTGGTTATTTTATATGTATGAGTGTCTACCTGAATATCTGTATGTGCACCACATGTTTGCCTGGTGCCCATGTAGGCCAGAAAAGAGTCCCTGGAACTGGAATTACAGACAGTTGCAAGCCTTCGTGTGGTTGCTAGAAATCAAACTGGGGTCCTCTGGGAGAGCAGCAAGTGCCCTTAACTTCTGAGCCCTCTCTCCAGCCCCTCCTGGCACTTGTTTCTACCATGCAGTACCCATGAATCTTACTAGGCTCTCCCCTCTAGCCAAGCCTAATCCATATCAGAAGGCAGCTTCATGTCTCCAACACTAGCTGTTGCAGCCGCCCCCTGTAGACGGTCTTTTCTCTGCAACCCACCGCTTTCTGGAGCCTGGGCTCCCTGCATATCCCACTCTTGGGATGGTTGCTGACATCTCTCCCTTGCTAGACTGAGAACTGCTCTTCTGTGGGCATATGGAGACTCTGGGAAAGTGGTTGTTAGTTGATGCTGATACCTTTAGACTTCTGGAGTCTGTGCTCTTCTGAGCACCTAGAACAGAAGCATGCCCCACAGTGTCTGTGGAGTCTCAGCTTAGTGCGGGCACTGTGCACAGCGTGTGCTTCAGTCACCACAAGCTTGGTAAGCAGTTCCAACTGTGGATGAGCTCACTTGAAGCATCTCATTGAAGTTTGCGTGCACACACACACTTCCCTAAGTATATGGGTGTGCAACTTCAACAATAACAACAATTACAGTGATAATTGTAAAGGACAATATATTATCAATCACTGTGTATTCATTTAATAAATGTCCTAAGGATGTCTGTGTTGATACTAAACCTTATAATGTTCACCAAGACCACAGCTTGTTGTGAAATGAGGTCAGAAGTTACATCTTAGTGTCCCCGATTTGGTGGTAGTGAGACACACCTCAATGCAGTTCATCCTATGGCTGCTGGAGATTTATCTCATCCAGAGTCCTATAGTCAGCCTGCTGAC